CACACAAAGTCCCTCACTCTTCTCTGGGGCCATGGCTCCTGTCCAGCAATTTCCTCTTGCCTTGGTTTGGTCTAAAACACAGAAATTGCTTCCCTGTGAGTGCTGGGAGTGCAGAGGTTAAAATCTGGATGTCCCACCCTCGGATACCCCGGAGATGCTCGGGGGGGACCAGAGCATCCCCCAGCCCTGGGCACAAGGTCCTGTTTTGCTCGTTTTCCCTTCCCACCTTCACAGCACCCTGGGGTGGGATGAGCTGGGGGAGCTTTAGGGAAGCTCCAGGGTCAGACAGGAGCTGTGCCAGGCACTTCACATCATCCTGCAGCCCCCAGAACGGAGTAAAACCCTTCCCACTGCCCCTTGCCCTGCAGGGCACAGGGTGGGCACCGTCCTTGGGGCAGAGGTGGCATCATCACCCCCTTTTAAACGAGGCAGGAGTGTCCCTGTCCCTTCTGCTGGCCCTCCTGACACCGGGGAGTGCAAAGGGAGCCCCGGGCTCCCTCCTGGCCATGCAGGGAGCTCCAGAGAGAAAGGAGCAAACAAAAACTCCGCTTGATCCCTCCAACCCTATTTGTGACTGCACTGTTCTTCCCAGCAGGGATAAAGGAGAGATTAACGGGGAGCTGCGAGGCAGGGGTGGCTCCCTCTCATGGCTTGGAGGGCAAGAGGGGGAAAGAAATGAGGAGTCAGGAGGCTGCACTCTGCTCCCCCCAAAAAAATCCTGCCCGGAGCACCCTGACCCTGCCAGGCTGCTCTGAAGCAGGAGCTTGAGGGAGCCTGGAGAATCATGGAATGGTTTGGGTTGGAAGGGACCTTAAATATCATTGAATTCTTATGGGCAGGGACACCTTCCATTGTCCCAGGCTGCTCCAAGCCCTGTCCAACCTGGCCTTGGACATTCCAGGGATCCAGGGGCAGCCACAGCTTCTCTGGGCAACGTCCCCACCCTCCCAGAGAAGGATTCCTTCCCAATATTCCATCTAAATCTACTCTCTGGCAGCTTGAAGCCATTCCCTGTGTCCCATCTGCCCAATCTCTTGTAAACAGTGTCACTCCATTTTCCTGTAGGTTCCCTCAGGTACTGGAAGGCTGCAAAAATTCCCCAGAGGAAGGCACAGGTGACCCACAGAAAGTGCCCCCGTCCCTCCCCACAGCCACAGCTGGCACATCTGGAGGAAAGCAGCAGCCAAAAGAGGGGAAGCAGAGTGGATCCCCTCGGAGCAGGCAGTGCCAGGCTCAGAGGGTGCCCGGTGTGGCTCAGGATGGGCACAGGGCTGATGTGAGCCACAGCTGGAGGAGGAGCGATCCCTCTGCTCCCTCCTCACATCGCGGCCACGCCGCTTCCCTGCAAGGAATCTCACAAATTCCCCTGCCGCCAAACACTTTGGTTTTGTTCGGGGATTGTCACTCCCAAGCTCTTGCCAAGAGCCTGATGTGGCCAGACCTCTGAATTCCAGAGTGATTGTGATAAACATCTGGGCAGGCACAGCACCCAGATCCTCACAGTCCTCAGGGAAAGTCTTCCATGCCCAAAAGCCCGGCTGTTTATTCCAATTATGTCAGCTGGGCTGATAAAAGTGATTATTTCTCTCTCCCAGCCCTGCTTTCTCATTGATCCCACAGGCTGCTCTTCAAATGTCACTCAGCGAGGAGGGAGCACACATCCAATTATGAAAAGGGAAAAGATCAGCGTGATGACAAAGCACCAGGGCCACTGGGGCATGAAACAAAGGAGATCTGTCTGGTTTTGACACCCTGCAAGTCCAAGGAACCCAGAAAGAGGCATTTTGGGGTTCTCCCCGCCAAAAAAATTCAAACTGAACTGTGTTCATAACATCTCTGAGGTTTGGTGCTGTATTTCTTCCAATATGAAGCCTTGAACCTGATGGAAATCTAATAATTGCTCAAAAGCACAGGTAAAGTCATGCAAACCTCAAAAGCCAGTGAGACTTGGGGTGATTGAATTTATTTTTATGTGAGGCAAATTCCTGCCTTTTCTTTGAACATGTGGTCACTTGTCCAACTCACTGAGGCTGTGTAGTTAAAGTCAAAAATCATCTCAAGCCCTGGGCCCACCCTGCCACACCTAAAAGAAGAGCAAAGATTTCCAGAGAGGAAATCAAGGGAGAAAAACCAAGCAACAAAAAAAATCAGCCTTGCCCTGATTCCTCAGGCACAGCCTCCTAACCAAAGCCCAGGCTGAGATTTCTTTGAACAGGGCACAAAAAAGACAAAATATGGAGCTGTAAACTGGGCTGGCTGATCCCTGCACGCTGGGTCACAGATTTAGGGAGTCCTGGAGCAGCCTCTGGAGAGGGATTGCCAGAGACAGGGATGCCTTGGCTAAAACTCTTGTTACAAAGCAGAGAATTCATCTTTGTCTCTCTCAGAGCTGGAATTTCCCACCACAACCCCAAATCTGCTCCTGATCCTACCAGGGCCCAGTGCTGCCTGCAAGGCTGAACATCTGTAGGGTGTTTATTAGGATAGAGGATCTAATTTTTTTTTTTAATTCTTGGATTTGATGCCACAATACTCAAAAACAGCCCAGCAAACTCACCTGGTCACTGCCTGACACCTCTCTAGTTTTTCCTAGAGCTGTCACCTCGGCTCTTATAAAAAAAAAGGAGAACAGGGAGCTGAACATCTGTAGGATGAACATCTGTGTGTTTATTAGGATAGAGGACTTAATTCTTTGGGAATGCTTTGATTTGATGCCACAATACTCAGAAACAGCCCAGCAAACTCACCTGGTCACTGCCTGACACCTCGAGTTCTTCCTAGAGCTGTCATCTCAGCTCCTACAAAAAAAAAAAAGGGGGAGCAGGTAGCTGAGGATGAGATGTAATTCCCAAAATTTCTGCTTTTCCTTCTGGTCGTGCTCATCACTCCCACTACTGCACCTCCTCCTCATCCCTGTTTTTCCAGGAGCTTTTGGCCGTGTTTTCCCTGCGAGGTGAGCCTGGGGCAGAGGGTGGGGATGGATTTGCACCCAGCCAATGTTCCTGAGCCCCTGCGGGTCTGTGAAAGCCTCGGTGCCACAAACTGAACCCAGCAGGTCCCAGCTCTGCCCGGGTGTGCGCGTAGGGAGTGATGGCCCCGTTTATCTTAATTTATCTTAGGGGCAGGGGAAGCTCCAGGTAATTAGCTCAGGTCATTAGCTCCTCCCAGCGCCTCTGCTTTCCCACATGTCTGCAGTGGGAGGGGGTGACTTCGGGATCTTCTGCTCCTTGTTTCTTCATTTTTGAACCTCTGAAGTGTGTGGTTGCAGAGCTGCAGTGTGGGAAGAGCGGGGAAGCCGCGGGTTCAGGGAGGTCCCTGCCGAGACAGAAACTTCACACCACTGAACCTGCTTTTCATCTCATTTCCTGCTTCTAGTGCCTCATCTACCCCTCTGCTTTAAACCACCAAACTTCCTCCCTTCTCTATAAATATCCCCAGCACAGCCAGGGCGTGAAATGGGCACCCAACGACCTGTGGTGTGGGGACAGGGGGGCAAAGACACAAAGACAGCAAAAGTTGGGGAACCTGGCCCTGGCACCCGGCCCTGGCACCCAGAACCATTTTTCCTGGTACTGCAGGAAAAATGAGGCAGGATCAGGAAAACGCATCAGAGCCCAAGAGCTGATGAGTGTCAGATAAGATTGAACATTGCTAAGAGTTTAATTGCTGACAAAGGCAGGAGTCTGGCACTGCCCTGGGAGGGTCACAGAGCTGCATCCAGCCAGGGACTCACCTGCAGCTGCCATTGGGGTAATCTGGGTGAAAACAATTCTTTCTTTTCTCCTTTTCTGTGGTACAGGGCGGTTTTAGAAGCACAGCAAGCAGCCAGGGCCAGCAGAGTGACATGTGTCTCTGGGAGAGCAGCGTTGCTTCAGAGGGATGCAGAAACGAAACTCCAGAGGCAGCGTTATCTCCTGCCAGGCTAAAAAGGAAGTTTTCAGGATTCCTTAGCCCTTATTTAGCGATTTTGTTTGTTTTGGAGGGAAATGTTTGTGATAGTGTCTGGCTCTGAGCACATGCCTGGCTGCAGCCACAGCGTCCAGTGGTCACTCCCTGCCTGGTCACTGCTCCCAGGACAGTTTAGGGTTGTCTGCCCTTGACCAGCTCTGCGATTTCTGTGGCTGCTTCACTCGGATGCGCCCCACAACTGAGGTGCAGCAACAGCACCGAGCTGGGGAGGGACGGGGACCTGGTGACATCCTGTCACGAGGTGTCACCAACGACCGTGGCGTGCCGGGGGCTCCCCACAGCCCCAGAGCCCGCGGGATTTCCCGGATGCTGCGTGTCCTGGTGACACCCGGGGACACGGGTGAGGTGGGGACACCTCGGGGCAGGCAGCGCGGGGACATTTGTGACGTTTGTGACATTTGTGACACTCGTGTGGCGCTGCGGGCAGAAGGCAGAGGGTGACACCGTGAGCACGGAGGGGAGCACACGGGGAGTGCGGGGACACGGCGGGGACGCGGAGAGCGGGGCGGGGACACGCGTGGGGCAGGGAGCGCGGGGACATTTGTGACAGTTGTGACATTTGTGACATTTGTGACATTTGTGACGTTTGTGACATTTGTGACACCCGTGTGGCGCTTAGGACAGAAGGCACAGGGTGACACCGTGAGCACGGAGCGGAGCACACGCGGAGTGCGGGGACACGGCGGGGATGCGGAGAGCGGGGCGGGGACACGCGTGGGGCAGGCGGGGGTGGCCGCGGGGTGCGGGGGGGCTCGGGGTGCGGTGCCGGCTGCCATTGGCTGTGCCGGGCTGATGTCACGGGCTGCTGTCACTTAAAAAGCTCCGCGGCGCCTAACGGGCTGGGACACGGGCAGGGACACGGCCGGGACGGGACGGGACAGGAGCAGAGCGGTGCCCGGTGCCCCAGCGGAGCTGCCCCGCACCTGTCCCGCACCTGTCCCGTATGAGCGGCTCCAGGAGCGGCGAAGCCTGAGCTCAGCCCCGAGCTCAGCCCCGAGCCCTCCCCGCCGCCCCGGGGCTGTCGCCGGGCCATGGCCGCGGCGGGGACGGAGCTGCCCGGAGGCAACGCCAGCGCCAACCAGAGCGCCGCCGACCCCACGGTGTCGCGGGACGTGTGGGTGGTGGGCATGGGCATCCTAATGTCCCTGATCGTGCTGGCCATCGTCTTCGGCAACGTGCTGGTCATCACGGCCATCGCCCGCTTCCAGCGCCTGCAGACTGTCACCAACTACTTCATCACCTCGCTGGCCTGTGCCGACCTGGTCATGGGGCTGGCCGTGGTGCCCTTCGGCGCTTGCCACATCATCATGGAGATGTGGACGTTCGGGAACTTTTGGTGCGAGTTCTGGACCTCTGTGGACGTGCTGTGCGTCACGGCCAGCATCGAGACCCTGTGTGTCATCGCCGTGGACCGGTACTTCGCCATCACCTCGCCTTTCAAGTACCAGAGCCTGCTGACCAAGGGCAAGGCGCGGGTGGTCATCCTGGTGGTGTGGGTGGTGTCGGGGCTCACCTCCTTCCTGCCCATCCAGATGCACTGGTACAGGGCAGACCACGAGGATGCCATCCGCTGCTACGAGAACGAGATGTGCTGCGACTTCTTCACCAACCAAGCCTACGCCATCGCCTCCTCCATCATCTCTTTCTACGTGCCCCTCGTCGTCATGGTCTTCGTGTACGCCAGGGTCTTCCAGGTGGCCAAGAAGCAGCTGCAGAAGATAGACAGGAGCGAGGGGAGGTTTCACACCCAGAATAAGGAGCAGGAGCAGAAAGGGGGAGCCGGGCACCGCCGCTCCTCCAAGTTCTTCTTGAAAGAGCACAAAGCCCTCAAAACCCTGGGCATCATCATGGGCACCTTCACGCTGTGCTGGCTGCCCTTCTTCATCGTCAACGTCGTGCACGTCATCCAGGACAACATCATTCCCAAGTACGTGTACATCCTGCTGAACTGGCTGGGCTACGTCAACTCTGCCTTCAACCCCCTGATCTACTGCCGGAGCCCCGACTTCAGGTACGCCTTCCAGGAGCTGCTGTGCCTGCGCAGGTCCGCCCTGAAGATGTATGCCAATGGCTACTCCAACAGCAACGGCAGGAGCGACTACAACGAGGAGGACAACGGCTACCCCCTGGCCGGGGATAAAACCTGCGAGCTGCTCTGCGAGGAGGGCTCCTTCCCTCGCCCCCAGGACTTTTTGCACGGCAAAGGTACTGTGCCCGGCGGGGAGGGTGCTGGGGGATCCGGAGTGGTTCGTGGGGGTGGCACGGAGGAGCCTTCCCAAGGAAAATCAACCTCCTTTAATAACAAGAGTGGTTCTTTTTTAGACAGCGCCTAAAACCGAATTGCTGCAGGAATTAAACTCTGCAGAGCGGGGCTGGCCCCTGGCAGGGCAGGGGGGCTGGTTTGGGGTGCGAGCCGGGGGTCCCATAGAGGGGCGGGGGATGCGGGGCTGTGTAAAACCGAATAAGTGCAGGAATTAAATTGCAAAGCGGGGCTGGCTCCTGGCAGGGCGGAGGGGCTGCTGACAGCCCCCCCTGGTTCGGGGTGCGACTCAGGGGTCCCTGAGCGGGGCGGGGGACGCGGGGCTGTGCAGAATGCTCGTCCCTGGAGGGATTTTTTGGCCGTGGCAGGGATTGAACTGACCTGGGACTGAAGCAGCTCATGACCTTGCTGGGAGCGGGGCTGGACCCCCCCTTGCACCCTTCACACAACCCCACTGGTGGCTGTGGGAGCCCTCCAGGCCAGGAGGGCACTTGGGGCGGGGGTGACAGGATTGTCCAGCTCAGGGCACTTAGCGGTCATGGCAAAAATCCTAAATTTGATCTGCGACAAAGCGGCGGGGAAGGGATGCAGGCAGCGCAGCTCGGCGGGGCAGGCTCTGGGACAGTTTGATCACCGCCCAAAAATTGCGAATGCTCTGTGGGGTTTTGTTTTGCCAAGTGCTACGGGACTTTCTGCAGGGGGAAAAAAAAAATAATAATAGAGATAAACAGAGCGTTCGCCGAGAATGTGAGCCTGTGACTGTGGGACTCAGGAATGTGGCGCTGGGAAGTCGGGTGACAATCACAGCCCAGCGCTTCGCGTCCAAACCAAAGCTCGTAAAGAGCTCGGTTTGTTTAACTGCAAGGCTCAGATGACAGCGAGCCCGGGGAGCTGCGAGGGGAGGAGGATTTGGATTTTCCGTGGCACCTTGGAAGCGCCGCTCCCACCGCGGGACGGCTGCGGCTCGCTTAGGGTGGGTGTGCAGAGGGGTTTGCCCCTTGTGCCAGGCTCTGCCAGGTGTCCCCGAGCAGGGTGGGCTGCGGGACAGGACAGACAGGACAGGACAGACAGGACAGTTCCTGGCTGGAGGGGAGCTGGGATTTGGGCTGGGGGCGCACCCCGGTGTGACACGCTGGACCTGCAGCTGGGAGGGTTCGCAAGTGCGGGGTTCTTCCAGGAATACTCGGGAAAGGTGCAGGAAAAGCGGCTCCCGGGACCTCTCGGTGCTGCGGGGGCCGTGGTGTCCCGGGGGATGCCCGGGGGATGCTCGGGGGATGCTCGGGGGTGTGCGGAGCCCCCGCATTTCCACACACTCGCCCCGCACCATGGGGGTGTTGGTGGCCGTGTCGGGTCGCACCGTGGTCACTTTGGGGGTGTGGAGGTCGCTGGGTGCCCGGGAGCCCTGGGTGGGTGGCGAGTGACCATTTCAGTCCCGATGCAAAGGGGCTTTGGGGCAGTGCCGTGCCGCGTCCCGGAGGAGCCGGAGCTGCCATGGGGGTGGAGCGGGGTTTTTGGTTACCGACACCCCCTGGCAGTGCCCGTGCGCCCTTGGTTGCTCTCAGGACTCGCTGGTGCCGCCAGGGCTGGAGGGGAATCCCCCCGGATGGGCAGGGTGTCATTGCTGCTGCAAGGTGTGGGGACAAACTCCTCGAGCTGTCACACCCTCCGGGTAAAAGCCAGGACTCTGGGAGCTCCAATTGCTCATTTTTTCATTTCTCAAAGTGGTTCTGATGCTGCTTGAGAAAGGCACTGGGAAGGAGAGCAGCTCTAAGAGCCCTCTCCTCCTCTAAGCCTGTCCCCGACTCGGCTCCTCCTGTCCCCTGTGCATCCCCAGCCCGGCCAGGGGATGTGGCTGCCAGCCCTCCCCTCGCCCTGTGCCCTCACCTGCTGCCCTGGCAGGGGTGCCAGCAGTGCCCCAGGTGCCGGGAATGTGCGGCACAGGACGGGTGTGGTGACACGGTGACACTTTGTGGCGTGAGTGGCCGCGGGGCAGCAGCGCAGGTAAACATTAACAGGAGTTAATGCAGGGCAGGGGACAGCGGGGGACAGCAGGGCAGGAGCGGGGCTGGCAGCCAGGGGCAAACAGCGACAGGTGAGAGGCTGTGGAGTGTGTGGGGTTGGTGTAGGAACACAGTGTAGGAGCACACTCGGTGTAGGAGCACACTCGGTGTAGGTGCACACTCGGTATAGGAGCACACTGAGTGTAGGAACACGGTGTAGGAACACTGTAGGTGCACACTCATTGTAGGTGCACACTCGGTGTAGGAACACGCTGAGTATAGGAGCACACTGAGTGTAGGAACAAACTCAGTGTAGGAACATTGTAGAAACACACTCGTAGTTGCACACTTGGTATAGGAACACACACAGTGTGTGAACACACTCAGTGTAGGAGCACAATGTGGAACAGTGTAGGAACACACACAGTGTATGAACACAGTGTAGGTGTTCACTCGGTGTAGGAACTGGGTGTAGGTGCTGACTCGGTGTAGGAACTCGGTGTAGGTGCTCACTCGGTGTAGGAACTGGGTGTAGGTGCTCACTCGGTGCAGATACTCACTCTGGGGCTGCAGACACAATTCAGCTCCGTGCAGGCTGTGATTATTGAACAGCATCCAGGGGAAATGAGAATGATCCTCCTGATTGCAGGGATCGATCTCTCCTGCGTTTGCACCTCCTGCATTTTCACTCCTGGCAGTCACTCCCATCCTGCCGTGCCCAGGATGAGCTGTCCCACAGTGAGGGGGGCTCAGGCCAGCCCCCAAAACACTCCAGTTCTCACCAGTTTGAGGCAGGACCCTCTGGCACAGAGAATTCCCACATCTACATCTCTGTTGTGGTTTGTATTTTCACTGTGATTAATTATTTGCATTTCAGTGGAACGGGATTTGTTGTCCAAATAATTGTTCTCTTTTTTTTTTTTTTTGGCTTCCTCTTCTTACTTCAAATATTGTGGCTGTGGGTAGCCAAAGTGGAGAGATGAGCAAGATGATTATTTGCAGAACCACTGCAGCTTCCAGAGCACGTGGATGGGGAAGGGACAGGGAATTTTGGGCTCTTTGCACTGGACAAATGACCTTGGCACTGTCAGGAAAGCTCAAGCTTGCAGTGGAGTCTGGGTGTTGAAGAGCTCATTTCTTTCCTCTAAGGTAACAGTAGTAAAACTGGTGAAATATAAACTGTGCAGCTCTGGGGGCAGCTGGAATTAAAAGAGAGAAATAGTGGAGGAAAAAAATATTGTGGCACCACCAAAGCCAAACCTTTCCATATTGGAAAAAAAAAAAAAACTTTGTCCTGTTAAAATATTTAATATTAAAAACTTTTATAGAAACATAAAAAAATGGAGTATTGAAGTCAGGAGTCGCTGTTTAAACTGGATTTTAGGATTTTACACTGGCAGAGTTGGCTCGGGTTAAACACATCTGATAGAACTCAGGGTGGCGACTTTGTTCAAGGGAAATGCTAAAATTTCAAATTAAAATTTTAAAATTTAGATTTTAAATTTTAAAAAAATTAATTTTAAAATTTTAAATTTTTTTTTAAAAATTAAATTTTTAAATTTTAAAAATTTAAATTTAAAAAAAAATTAATTTTTTTTTAAAAATTAAATTTTTAAATTTTAAAAATTTAAATTTAAAAAAAAATTAAAATTAAATTTTAAAATGTTCAATTCTTCCTGCAAACAGAGCAGACTAAAACAAATGGAAGTGTGGCTTGAGTTCCTTGTTAGGACTGGCAGTCCCCAAAGTGCCTCATATCCCAAATTGTTCAGCAGTTCCTGCAGCCCAGCATTGCCCACAGGTTTATCTTGTTCTGTCCTGGGCTTTCAGGGCTGTGCCTGCCCCAGCCTCACCTGTGGGACTGGACCCCACCCCTGGGTTCACCTGAGGCAGGGCAGAGATTTCAGGTCCTAAATGCCCCCAAATGTTTGAAAAGGGGGCAGGGATTAGGAGTGGGAAGGAGAGGGGTGTGTGAGCTGTGTCCCCTCAGAGCTGCTGGGCTTTGCAGAGCTGATTTCAGGGTTTATTTACTACAAGGGCAGCCTCCACTTCACCTCCCAGCATCTCTTGCCTTTCTGGTGTAGAATCACAGACCCTTTTAGGCTGGAAAAGGCTTTGAAGGTCAAGTCCAGCATTCCCATTGATCCAGATCCCTCTGCAGAGCTGTCCTACCCTCCAATTTAGTGTCTTCTTAATGAGGATGTACTCAGTCCCCTCATCCAGATCACTGATGAAGGTATTAAACGAGACTGGCCCCAGAACTGAGCCCTGTGGACACCACTGGTGGCTGAGCTGGATTTATCCCATTCCCACTTTCTGGGCTTTTAACCCAGTCAGGTTTATCCCAGTGAAGAATGGACCCATCCAAGTTAAAGGAATTCAGTTTCTCCAGGAGAATGCTGTGGGAAACGATGTCAAAGCTTAATTAAAGTTCATCATCCACAGCCTTTTCCTCATCCATGGAGTGATCATCCTGTCTCTGTCGTTCAGGTCTCTGTTTTTCAGCTCAGGGAATACCTGGAGGACACCTGGTTTTACTGTTAAAAACTGAGACCAAGAGTCTTTGAGTACCTCAGCCTCTCCCTCATCCTTTGTGTTTCCCCAGTCAAGGATGGAGATTTTCCTTAGCTGTCCTTTTTTTGCTGATGTATTTCTAGGAGCATTTTAAAATCTCTTTTCTGGCAGCAGCCAGATTAAATTCCAGCTGGGCTTTGCTCCCTCTAACTTTTCTCCCTGCATCCCCTGACATCCTTGTTGTCCTGAATTTCCTGCCCCTTTTTCCAAAGGTCCTAGACTCTCTTTTTTTTTTCCCTTGAATTCCAGACAAAACTCTCTGTGCTGCCAGCCCCCAGCACACGGGCACAGGCTGCTCCTGCCCCTTTAATTCCATCTCCTGCTGCCACGAGTCTCAAACCCCACAGACTGAGGCTGTGTCCCTCCCTTTG